AGTTGTAATTACCAGTGTTTACTGCCAGCCAGAGAGTAGCAGGGCAGCTTACATCTGCACACACCCACGTCTGCATCCTGCCGCCATGAACCACACACACACATATGATAGAGAAACCACACAGAAATACGCAGTCTTACAACAGACACAGATTCAGTATAAATATGCAGTATGCTCATGTGTGTCTTTGTATGTCCCCCTTTCAGTTCAATGAGAAAGCCGATGCTGTTGTTCCGTGCTTCAGGACTTTGGTCCAAGCCAATGTTCGTAACAAGAAGATCTTCAAGGAGGCCGTCATGCATATGCAAGCCAAAGGAACCACAGATTACAAGTCTGGCTTCACATTTGCCTTTGAACAGCTTCTCAATGTAAGCGCCAACAGGCTTTTCGAGGAAGGGCGATGCAAGGGTGTATGTTTGTCTGTGCCTCCCACCTGAAAGTCTTCAGCAACATGCTGGAACTATGTGACTAGCTCCAGCATGTTATTATATATCCTGTCAGGGTTACTGTCTAATCCAATTAATAAAAAAACTGCATTAACAGTGATAAAACAGTGCTGACAGGGAGTGGTCCAGGTTTGTATAAGACGTTTCCAGAGTTCTGTCATTGTCAAAGGTAGGTCTGACAATAACTGCTGTTGCGGTGGAGTCTCACTAACGTTTGCCGCAGCCAGCACAGTGGTGACGCCTGTCAGCAGCAGGCATCCACGTGCTCGCAACACAGGTGCTGCCTCAGCTCCGTATGCTGCTGTGTATTTTAAGAGGCTGCCACCCTAATGGGCTCTGATGGGATGATTGATGAGCGCAGCCCAGAGGAGATCAGCCACAGACACTTTATATTCCTCTGGTGGGCTTGGAGGCATAGAGCCAAGTGCCAGCTGCCCCCCCCCCCACCACCCCCGAACCCCCACCACCCCCCTTCCCTTGCCAGCAGAATGAGAAATAAAAAGGCCCCTTTAATCGCTGTCTGTGGCAGACTCACACCCATGATTGGTGGCAGAAGCACAATAAAAATATGTAATTGTAGCAATATTATTTATCTTTATTAGAATCTTGTCAAATTGACATGCCGCTGGCCTGCATATCAACGTGCAGGCAGGCGGGGAGGTTTGTTTCAAAGCTGAATTCTAAAAACTGGTGCCTTGCTATGAGCATATAGTGCTGAAATGCTCATGAAAGTGCTTCTGACACAATCAAATTTAACGCTAGAGTAATGTTGTATACTTCAAATTAAATCCTAAGATTATGATAATATGAGGAAGCCTATGCCTACCAACTAGGGAATGTGTAAATGAATGAAGAAAAACTCAAAGCTCAGATGGATTTATTGCAACAAAATGTGTGACAAAGAATAATAAAAGAATATTATGTGAAAATGATATATGGACAACGAATAATTTTTTATTTTTTACTTACATATCCATACACATTATTCTTTCTACTCATTATAGGATATATTAGAATACTACTCTTAAACACTGCAGGATTTCCAGGAAAGACATTAAACCCTCTCCATTCTATACTGGACATCTTCCAGGTTAACCAATTAGTATTAAATGAAAAACACAAAACACAACCATAACTGTACTCGCACACATATTTAAACATAAGGGACATTCTGTAATTGTATTAAGAAGCTACAAAATAATTAGCACAAATGTGGAAAACACTACTGCACACAGGAAATAGACACTATAAAAAAGATCACATATAGAATAATTCCATCTTCCAAACAACTCTCTAATCTGCTGAGCTGAGTATATGGGGTGGACCTACTAAGATCTCTACCATTGCATCTACCCCAATCTGGAGCTATTTTGAAAATGCCTTATAATACTTCTGGAAGCTGAAATGCAGTTTTAAATGATGTTCTAGCATTTTCCTCTTTTATCCTTGCATATTACCTAACCTGTCTCCCTGCCTCTTCCCCTCTCTTTCTTTGCTCCTCTCTCCTCCCTCCTCGCTCTTCATGTGCCACAGGAGAGCAGTGCCCCGAGGGCCAACTGCAATAAGATGATAATGATGTTTACAGATGGCGGGGAGGATCGTGCACAGGACATCTTTGAGAAGTACAACTGGCCCAACAAAACGGTGAGTCTATTCATCTACTCGCTCTGCCAGCCCAAGAGATCATGCATGTCCAGAAACTGTCTTAGCAGGCCCTCCCCATCTCCTAACATATTCTGCTGACATTGTCTCATTACTGCATAGGCAGTTGTTAGTTAGGCTGTCAAGACATGCCAAACCACTTCAATCTGTGCACATAACTCCAAGCTTTCTCCACTTCCATTTTAGCTGTTTTGATACTGGATTTTTCCTCTTGTGATTCATCTCTTTGACCTTTCTTCAACTCTCTCCCTCCTTCTATCTGTCTCTTTCTCTTTCTTGTCTCTTTTGTTGTTTCGCTGCTGGTGTTAACAGCTCTGACCTGCTGACTAATTAGCCACTTTATCACCAGAGCCTATAAAATTACAGCCCGTGGATACTCAGTTTGTGTCTTTGTTCCAGTCTTGCTGTCACTCCACACCCCTCCTTTCCCCATTTCACTGCCCCACCAATATTTATTCTGATATCCATTACTTTCCGGTTCCCTCATGACTGCTGCTGTCATATAGGAATAATCTGCAGTTTGACAACTCTCTCACTGCAGTCTTGTGTTGGAGACAGTTTTGTGAGTTCACTGGGAGGGTAATCTAACCATGCTCAAGATTTGTGCATTATAGTTTTCACATGACAGTAACCTTATTGTCATCCAGAAGGAGGTTTGCGTGGTGTTGTTTTTCTCTTGTAGCCACCTCTGCGGGAAGTTTGTTTTTATTCTGAGTGTTTCTTTTATCGTCTCTCACCATTTGTCTTTACTCTATCCAGGTTCGTGTGTTCACCTTCTCTGTTGGCCAGCATAATTATGATGTCACCCCTTTGCAATGGATAGCTTGTGCCAATAAAGGTAAGTGGATAAGGTGGTTCTGTCAAAGAACATGTTTGTATGTGAAATATAAAAGAGAAATATGACGCAGTAGGTTGAGTAGGCTTTCCGCAGAGCTGGTGAGATGTGGAGCACTCTGGTAAATGACGCTGTCTCAGGTCATTCTCAATCAGAAATGCAAAGCCTAGTCAAGCTTTACTATAAATTGATGGGTCGCATTTGTTCTTGGGAACATCAAAGCAGTACACAACAACACAGGTGTGGTTTGTTTATTGGTTTGCAGTGCATAATTTTGACCCTGTGGGCCCCTTTCCATAACATAGATATTAACTTAGATAGATTGTCAAGATTTAAAAGAAGAAGTCTGGGTCATCACAAAGTCACAACTGTTTAGATACTGGTACGAATAAATTAATAAATCCATACATTTTCTGCACTCTCTTATTCTGTTTAGGTACTTAAACTTACGTACCCTTAGTTACATTATAAATACAAGACTGACTTAACACCTCTTTTGGCTCACCTCTCACCTTGCTGAAGACATGGCTGTTGGGTGTGGTCAGCACACTTCTGACTGCACTTATCAGTGATGCTGGTTGTGGTCACAGGTGAAACACACTCAACATTTTCAACCAGAAAAGTACAGCCAAACACTACTTAGTTACTATTTAAAGCTGTAATTGGTAACTTTTTGTCATATGTATTTGCAAGAAACCACCACGGCTGAATGAAAACAACCAATTGGAGACAAGAGAGAGAGGTGATTGTTGAGTCTCATGCTTTAGAGATCGGGGAATGAAACTGAATAATCAACTATCTTTCACGGACATCTTTATAAAAGTTATCTACTGCAGCTTTAACTACTATGTAAATATTAATAGAATAAAATAAAATATTAAAATCTGCCGGCACCATTACAAGCTCATCATCTCCAAGATTTATCCGGGTGTCTGTCTTGACCTCATTTTATGTTCCAATCAATATTTTATAACTATAAAGCGGCCACAGACCCAAAAATTACCCAGCAAACCGGCAGCCCTGCTTCTGACAGACAGTCTGACAACCCACATGATTCAGCTGCTCTTCCTGTCAGCTACTTTGTCCGCATGAATCTCATCTTGACTCAGCTCCTTTAATCCCAACCTAACTCTGACTCTTGTGGCTGTGTTCAGTATTGATTTTTTTTAATCCACAACCCACTTTTCTTCCTCTGTTTTTTGGCTTGTTTTAATTTTGTTTCTCAGTGTTGCAGTTTAACTGAAGCTGCTCCTTTACGGGGCCTTCAGCTGTCTGTATGGAGCCTCGGCTAACTGCTGCTGCTGATTAGCTTATTGCCAATGGAGCCAAGTGCGTCAGAAGTATCTCCCCAGAAGTTGTTATTAATTAGCAGGAGGAGTCTGGTGGCAGGATGATTACCGTGCCATCTCCCTGTCAGACTGGGGAAAGTCCAGGATTACGCCGCTGTGCCAACATGCTCTTTGCTGTTCACCACTGTAGTGATTACCATGGTACTAAAGCCTATGCCAACATAAGACAATAGTGTTGACACACCAGCCTCAATGGAGCTGTCCTCTCATATCTTCAGTACTTATTACTCTTTGGTATCTCACTCCAACAGAGCCAGCTCTCTGACACTTCCACAGGCCCTAACCCTTCACCCATGACATATACACACTTGATAAACAGCAGTAACACACACACACACACACACACACACACACACACACACACACACACACACAAACACAATCATCTAGGCCGCTTGGAGATGCTAGCTGTTGTCTCACTTCAGTGCCATCTTAAGAAGAAAGTAACCTCTCTGTGACTCTGAGTACAATGAAACCATTTCTCCATGCTCTCATGCGATGTAACAAAAGCCCAAAACAGACGAGAGAGTTATCTTTAAAAAGAAAAAAGGTGAAATGGAGGATAAAAGTAGCAAATATGACACACTGCATTGGTGATCCTAATACTTTAACAAAAGTGCTGTTTATAATCCAAAACTAGAAATGAAATATCCCATAAATTCATGGTGTTCAAACATAATTTAATAACAATTTAATTACACCATGAAGTTTGTTGGAAGAGTTTATTGGGTAAACTTCTATCTTACTCATATTTGCATTAGGATATACTTATAATATCTACATCGTACTTAACCTACATAACAGTTACTTCAAGGCATAATATATGATGACATTTGAGGAAGGCTGACTTCTAATAGCACAGAGGCATTATGTAAACAAGTTTCACGTGGAAAATAGGTTATTGATTAAATTCATAATTGCCCCTCACACAGCTGATCTCTGTTGTTAACCTGCAGATCGACATCACAGTCTCACTTCTATAGTTATCACCTATATTATCCTGTCTTCATCTCTCGCCAAGCTTTGCCCTACAACGACAGATGACACCTCTTTGGTACTCTGCCAAAAGCACTGGGACAAACTACTACTCTGAACAAAACTATGACAAATAGCTGTGCCCTGCGTGTGTGTGTGTGTGTGTGTGTGTGTGTGTGTGTGTGTGAGAGAGACATAGATTGTGTGTGCAGAGATGTGTATGCACGTGCACGCGAGTGCCTAATATCTGCATGCTCGCATGTGCAAATGAATGAGACAGAGAACGCAAATCTTGACACAAACCACTGTAGCAAAGTGCATAATGTATCAAAATAATGAGAGTCATCTCTGCCTTTTAACATTCTGGGGATGCTGTCTCCATTTCGCGGCTCTTTGTATAAACACTCATGACTTTAATAACTTGGGGAGCGGCGTGGTTATTGACCCAGTCGGTCACTCTCCTCCATTCCTAATCAGCAGCAGCAGTGCCTGGGGCTCAGCATTCACAATGAGCCTCCACATTTACATCCTACAGCACATGAGTGTGGAGAGGTCAATGGCCACAAGCTCTGTCGTGCCTGCTTGGCACAACATCATCAGCTGGAGACGATAGCATTACATGTACCTAATAACATGGAAGAGATTAGACTCCAATCTATAAATGGATCACTTTTGTACACACTGTGACTCTTGAAAATGTAGACAGAATATGAGACATGCAGGCACGATGAAGCAGGCTGGATACAGCAGCTTTCTGTTGGAATAGTGTATTGATTCTCTTTTCTTAATCTTCAGGTTACTACTTTGAAATTCCATCGATTGGAGCCATCAGAATCAACACCCAGGTGAGATATGTGCAGTGCAGGTCACCCTGGTCGCTCACTCGGTTGAGTGCACCCCCCAACGTACTAAGGCTGCTGGGTTGGAGTCCAACCTGCAGCCCTTTGCTGCATGTTATCCTCTTTCTCCCCCCACTTTTGTGTCACTCTTCAGCTGCTCTATCAAATAAAGGCATTATAAAGTCCCCCAAAAAATTTTAGTGTGGACAAGCTTGTATACACCTTTGTGAATCCACAAAAAACAGCACTTTTAAGCAAGAAAGTAGTTCATTCTTCCTTCATGGTCTCTTTGATGATAATTATACAGATTGTAGATAGGCTTTTTATTCCATGACAAAGGGACAGAAGACGACACAGCTGGATGACTACATAAGGGAAGTGACAGAGTTGGAGATGGAGTGATAACAAATAGAGTTGTGGTCTTTCTATGCTAATGTTTGTGGACGCTCTGAGGAAAAGACTTTCTTTTCTATCTCTTTCTCTCTCACACACACACACACACACACACACACACACACACCCTCGGGTTCCTCACACACCCCGGACCTGCCACCCCCTACACTTGCTTGAGGCCCTCCAAGCTTCTAGAGGCCCTTGGGATAACCTCATTCCAGCTGTAGAAATTGACTCACGATATGTGGTGGGGGAGCTACTTGCTCACCCCTCCTCCCTTGCTCTCTCCCTTCCTATCTCCTACCCCAATTCCCTCCCATCTCCTCCTACCCACCACCACCACCCCGCCTCAGCCCCGGTGAGCGATCAGGCCCCAGAATATACTGTCAGCTGTTCCATTAACTCTGGCATATTTATATTCTGAAAACTGCCACTTACTCTAATAGGTTTTCTGAAGGTGGGTGACTACGGCTCTCTGTATAGGCCTAGAAGACACATTATTTAATCATACACTGCCCTTCAACATCAGACACTCATCGGATAGTCTCACTTGACTAAGATGGCAACTTTCAAATAACAGATGGACCACAGATGGCAAAATTATTATTATTCTTACCGTCCAGAGTCATGTGATCATGTAGGAAGGAAGAGTGGAATAGTTTTTAAAAAGACGTGGCACCTTCTTCTCTGTTTCTGCATGGTTGAGGCTTACTTCATCCATTCTTTCTTCTTTGTATAGAATCTCAGTGGAGTAACAATAACAGGCCAGGCTTTAGTTAGAATGTTTGTCTTTAGAGGGAACGTACTGATGAGTTTACTCTCTGCCGTCGTAGTTGTTACGGTACCCAGGGAGACAATAGCATTTAATCAACGTGTAGGGAGGCTATTGGAATTTGTATGGTTCCGGTTCCTTTGGACCACATATCTTCAGTTGCTGACTTTTTATGTTTCCTAGATCATTCTAGCCAGGCGGAAAATTTCCCCTATATCCCGTGAAAAGGTCTGGCTGTCATTGTCCTGATGGAATATCTCCCTGTGGCGCGTTAAACCGGACTTTTATTGAGCTAATAATAGAATAGGTTACGCCTGTCAGCACCTCACTGTTCAGGCGATGGAAAAACAAACGGTCGAAAGCATAATACTGAAATAGCTGCGTGCTTATACAGGGCGCCCCTTTTGTGCAATCGAGGACAGATACAAGGGTCAGAAACCTGTGATAATGGTTCCGTTTTTGCTGCAAACTGGATGGAAATTTGTCATCTTGTGAAAACGTCTAATGTTTTCCGAATTAACGTTCGGCCCCAAGAGAGAGCTGCTGCATTCCCACTGAGCCTGTTTTTACATTTGAATACAGTGTGTTGATACATAAAGGCATTTGGCATTACAACTCACATACTGCTGAGTAGGATACTAAAGAGGAAGTTGGCTTTTAGTAAGTGTTTGCAGAATTATACACAGTCGGTTTAATTAGAGAATCATTTTTCTGTCTCTGGTCTTTATAATAACAAGACACTGAAGGCTTGCAGTGCGATCGTCCCATCCCCGGCAGGCTTCTTTTCCCTCTAAACTGTGCAACCGTTTCATATGTCATGAGGTCACTCACTCAATAATTTTACCAAATTACACACCATCTCCAAAATGACAAAGATCAATAGGGTGTTTATAAAAAAAAAAAAACACACATCTCAGCTGTTGTGAGAGGAAGCTCCAGAGAACAAGAGAATACAGTGAATTTGATGTATTACTAGTAGACTTAACCCCTCACCTCTATTCACCATCGCTGTGGGACATTCTCACAGTGCCGGCGATGACAGTAAAGCCTCTGGGAGAATAGCCTGTTTGCACGTTGTGCCATTGACACCCTTAATGTGTTTTTAATAGCTCCTTCATAATGATGAAAAACGGCCTTGAGTGTCTCAGGACTGGAGGCTTTATGGCTTGGCAGGACCGGGATGCTGCTGCTTGTGGCCCACTGGTTTATGTGGTGACAGAGAGGAGGTCGGTCAGGGTCTTATAGTTTTATGACAGATGAACGTTGGACGGCATTCTGCTTTTAACACCTGTACATGACAAGCACTATAAACGTCTGTTTGATTATGTGTGTTTTTGCTGCTGCAGGAGTACCTGGATGTTCTGGGTCGTCCCATGGTGCTGGCTGGTCCCAGAGCCAAGCAGGTGCAGTGGACCAACGTCTACCAGGATGCTCTGGTGAGTGAGAACTTTAAAGGAAGTTAGAAGTGCGAAGTCTTATAGGAAGCATGGTTTGTTTCTGCAGACTAATGCAACTTTCTAATCCTATGTTTAATTATTTACTCCAATTGCTAGTTTTGATGTGTAAATCATTAGTGATTGTTAGGATAGAAGATATTTGGGCAAGTTCAGGTCACAACCTATTAAATTTGTCCAAATAAAAGCACTAAAAAGTTTCTGCTGCACTGAACTACTACTTTAAGACAAAATTGTAATATCCAATAGTAGTTTTGGTGTCACAACCTTTCAATCTCTACAGTTTCACTTTGTATCATTAAACATTGCAGCTTCTTGTGTTTCATGTTTTGGGTTTTCAATATTGCAATATGCAAAGATCATTTTAATTATTTTTTAACTGGATTTCTCAAATGTTTTATCAGGGTTTGGGCCTTGTCATCACTGGGACAATGCCAGTCTTCAACCTCACCGCTGATACTGTAAGCTCTAAGGTAATTACAACACTGCAATGCAAGATGTGGATCTTAAAATAGCTCTACTTTTTTTTCACAGCATACTGCGTGAGTCATACCACCACTCATCCTTTGTGTTAATGAGTCTTAGCCTTTATTATTATACAATATTGTTATTGTCGTGTGGTTAAAGCTACATATGTAGCTAAGGCTATTTAAACAGAAACAGGAGCTGGAGCAGCAGGAAGGTTTCAGGTTTTATTTTGCGTCTCTTTGCTGTTGTTGACCACCATCAGTCATTTTATAATGGCGTCCAACCAGCTGCTGCTCTTCTAGGCAACATCTCCCCCCAGAGGTGACAACAGACATCACAACCTCCCATCTGTAGTATCTGTTATCATCCATAGAGCACGCATCCACCAGTATCCATGACCAAAGTATTTACTATTTGAGCTTATCACACAGACTTAAAGCAGTGATGCTGCCGCAAACTGACTCAGTTTAAGATAGACTCTAAAAATATGGACTAATCAGATTGCACACAAAGATGTTTTTAGGAGATCTCTCACAATCTCACAGCACAGCTACCAGCTCTCTGTGATTCTCCGATACCGGTGGGTTTGTATATAAAATGTTATAATTACTTTATATGTTTTTCCAACAGAACCAGCTCATCCTCGGAGTCATGGGAGTGGACATTGCAATCAACGAAATCAAAAGGAAGACACCTACATACAGAGTGAGCACGTTGTACACTCAATGTCTCTCTCATGTCACTTTCATATCGATGATTATTCAATCACATATGCATTCACTCTTTTTCCTGTGCAGCTCGGAGCCAATGGCTACACCTTTGCCATCGACCCAAATGGCTATGTGCTGCTACATCCCAACCTGCGACCCAAAGTAGGTCCAACTATGAGCAGGGCGCCCTGCATCTAAGGAGTTTACATGCTTTCGGATTCTGAAGCTAAATTTGGATGTTGCTCCTGCTGACTGACATTAACCCTCCCCCTCCATCTTCCCCTGCTTTCTCCCTTTGTTCAGATCATTAACTTCAGGGAGCCCGTCACTCTGGACTTCCTGGATGCAGAGCTGGAAGACAGCAACAAGGAGGAGGTAAAAAAAAAAAACTACCTCTTTAAAAGCATCATCATTACTATCAGCTCCTGTATTTAATAAAGCTTTCATTTAATTGTTTTATTTTTTCGCTTTCTAATGTATCCGTATGCCTTCTCACACTGCAGCATCACTCCCTCACTCTCTTACTCGCTTTTCAGATCCGTCGACAGATGATTGATGGCAAATCAGGGCAAAAGAAAATCAAGACGCTCATTAAGTCAGTTGATGAGGCAAGTCATCAATATATGAGACTCAATCATGATCCAAAGTAGCACCTTCCTGAATGGTGTTGTGATGAATTTGAATCACTCAGTATGTTTAGGATCTGCTGTTTCCCTCCAATTACGGGAAGAGACGTGTGCTGAGGATGCGTCACTGTGTTACTTATCAGTCTTTTTGTGGTTGACAACAGAGGTACATCGACGAGGCCATGCGGACGTACACATGGACGCCTGTTGACGGAACAGATTACAGGTAAGTTTAAAATCCAAACATAGATCACCTGACCTCAAACCAAAAGATTGCACAACTTGAACCTGTAAGTGAAGTCCAACTTATGATTTGTTTTTTATTTGTCCACTTTGAGTCTCAGATTTTACAGTTGTAGAGCTGTAACTCATCAACCAGCTGTGTTTGTTAACTTTAGCTACCATTATCACACATTTGGAGTAGACTAAACCTATCACAGAATAAAGGCAACTTCTCATTTGCCTTCTGTATTTGCATTCAATAATTCATCTGAATCATCCAAATTAAAGAACTCTTTTCTTTCTCTCATAAAAATCTTTAACAGTACTCTAAGCACAAATTAATTGCCTAGTTTATTCATCTCCAAACTTGGTTGAACATTGGAGGTTGCATCATAATGACATTTCCTCCCGGCAACACTTTACAAATTACAGTTTATGATATTCAATACAAATGCCTGATGTGTGTTTTTTTTTATTACATCTGCTGGCAGCGTGCCTGGTCTGGGCTCAGTCCATATGAGGCTTTCTCTGCACAATTCTATTAATATTCAAGTCTAAAGGGAAATTCCAGTGTATTTAACAATCCTCATGTGTTACTGTTGTGGCCTGTAAATCTAACTCTAACCAGATATTCAAAGCTCTACTCTGCCATTCATCCTACATTTAGAATTTAGGGCAGCACATGAGACTTTGTTTGAATGTTTCTTTAAATCTAAATTAGCTTTATATTATAGATAGTCGACTGTAGCTGTGGCTCAGTCAGAATCCGATACTGTCACAACTTGATTTTGTATGTCTTCCTATTAATCCTCTTACTGAGTTATATTTTAGCTTTGTGTGGAACCACAGATTAAGAGATGCGACATGTATTTCTGTTTTTTTTTTCTTTAATTTGGAACATCTGTTTGAAACAGAAACTAAAAACTAAAAGACTGCTTAGATAAATATTTTTATATATTAACGATTTATCAAATAGCTAAATGTATTTTAAAAGGCGCCTTTCTACTGACAAACTCACCGCTGCAGTTCCTCTCAGCTCTAGAGAAGTTTATCGCATCTTTCAGCTCATTGTGTTGCTTTTCTCAAAGTTGCTTTTTTAGTTAATTTTCTCGTCAGCGTCGTTTCTAGACACGGACGGCTGTTTTCAGAAAGAAGTTCTGTTAAACCCATTGTGTGCAGACAGAGTTATCGGCGAGCTGGGAATAAAAGTATTGGACTTTGCTGGGTTTGTGTGGGCAGAAACAGTGCTGCTGTTAGTCCATATCTGCTGGATGTGTGAATAGGCAACTGTCGGCTATCATGTATGTTCACATATCATTGTATCAATTTAAAATATGGTGTGTTTAAAAAACATTGCAAATACCAAACATGTTGGATGTAGTACAGGGTGGCGCTCGCTACAAATACAGCTGCTTTGCTTGGGAACAGTCAGGGGCTGACCTCCGCACTGCAGGGTGGCATCAGGGACCTGCCAGAGAGGTGTATTCTGACGTTTTAATTTGAGCCCATGTGGGACTGTGAATTGGGGACTTGAAAAACAGCTTCTTTAGTACTGACTTTGTGATTTCACTAGTGAGCTGAACTACTGAACTAAAAAGAATAACCCAGAATGTGATCACAGATTTTTAATGGTCCTGCCTCTCTGCCTGTCCTATTAAATGAAACTGCCTTTCTCTCCAGAACTAATAGCCCATCAGTTTATACATTTCTTAAAGGTACAATGTGTTAAGTTATCATTACATTCATTGTTCTTTTGATTGTTCCTTTAAGGTCTAACGAATATAGTTAATATCTTTGTTCAATGTAGGTTTAAATCATTAGATTTAAACCTACATTGTTAATATCTGTGTTTACGTGCTAGAAGTCTTCCTCTTCACAGCCTCTCTGCGTTTCTCTGCACATTACTGCCACCTGACAATCAGTGGAGGTATATGAAACCATTGGCAGTAATGTGCTTCAAAAGCTCTAAAGAGTCCCTTTAACATTGTTCCCGCACCAGCTTCAACATCTGGTGTCAGAAAGACGTCTCACATTAGAGAAGTAATGACACCATTTGATGGCCCATTTTGAACTAGTTGTGCCGACTGTAAGTGAGCAGCTGTGTGTGTTTGTATGTTGGAGAGTTTTAATATGCATTCATTACATGTTCCTGACTTTCTGCGTCTGCCTCGTTACCTCAGTCTAGGGTTGGTACTTCCCACATATAGTGAGAACCACATCAAGGCCAACCTGAGCGACCAGATCCTTCAGGTGCAGTGTAAGTACCTGGGAATACCCAGCATCCTTCGCTCTCTCTGTCTCTCTCCTTCTCTTTCTCTCTTCCCACTCTTCCCTCCTCCTCTCTCTCTCTCTCTCTCTCTCTCTCTCTCTCTCTCTCTCTCTCTCTCTCTCTCTCTCTCCCAAATATGACCTTATTCTGTTATTCAGTCCTTTGTCCTGGGTCTTCAACATCATCAATAGGGAGTGTCCAAGCGGAGTCGCCCGCCCCGCCCCCCCTACCCCTCTCCCCCCCTTCTCCCCCTCCCCCTCTCTACGCTCTCTGATAGGCAGGATCATACCTGAGTCCCCCGACTCCTCTACTGCCCCCTGTTCCCTCCTGTCTTCATGCTGTGCTGTAAAATGGTGATGTTTTTTCTTCACACTGGCTGAAGAAAAAAATAACTGAACTGACAGAAAGGTGAAAGCTGTGGTTTTACTGTGTTACTCAGGTGAAAATAATGGTGACCTTTGTGCTATTATTTTTTTTGCCAAATGCTCTCGCCTCTTCTCCACCAAGTAATGATTCTGAAGCATCTGTGTTCAAAGTATTTGATGTTCTGAAAAACTGTGAAAACACGCATGCTTTTCACTCCTTATGATGAGTTTTATGATTTTGGGAATTTTCCTTCTGTTATGTGTGTGATTTTGTTTTTCAGTTGTTTTTCAGTTTTTTGTTTTTTTTGTTGGATTGTGTGAGATGTTTCTCAG